TTCCTGTGTCTGTCTCCCTTCATTTAGTACATTTTCAAGGCTCACTCATGCTGTAATAGTAGTTGGGTACTTAACTCCTTTTTATGGATGAATAATGTTCTACTGTATGGTGTATTAGTCTGTCAGGACTGCTTTAACAAAATTACAGGCTGTGTGGCATACACAATAGACACTTATTTTCTCACAGTTCTGGGGTCCAAGATCAAGATGCCATCAGGGCTGGGCTCTCTTAAGGCTTCTCTCTCTGGCTTGTAGATGGCCACCTGCTTGCTGTGTTCTCATTCGGCCTCTTCTCTGTGCATGTGTGGAAAGAGAAAGAGATCTCTGGTGTCTCACCAGCCTATTGGTTTAGGGTGCTGCTATCCCATGGCCTCACTTAACCTCAAGTACCTCACTAGATACCCTAAAAGCACACTGGGGGGTAGAGCTTCAACAGAGGAATTTTAGAGGGTACACAATTTAGTCTACAACATACATATATGTCAACATTTTGTTTATCTAGTAACTGATGGACACTTGAGTTTCCACTTTAGGTCTTCTTCGGACAATGCCTCTATGAACATGCATGTGGAGGTTCTTGTGTAAACAGTGTTTTCAGTTCCCTTGGATATATACTTTACAATACAAGTATATATACAATATACTTTGTAGAGGAATTTCTAGGTTATATGGTAATTTAACATTTTAGGAACTTTCCACAATAGCTGTACATCTTTAATTTTTGTACCAGCAATTCAAGAGGGCTCCAGTTTTTGCAAATCTTTCCCCATTTGTTTATCCTCAAAAGTAAGATTCACTACATTTTAGTAGAAGTTCTCTCTCTCTCTCTCTCTCGCTCTCTCACACACACACACACACACACACACACACACACACACACACACCCCAGTGGGCACAAAGAGGCATTTCACTGCGGTTTTATCTGCATCCCCTAATGATTAATTGGTCTACACCATCTTTTCATTGTGATTTTTGACCATTTATAGATCTTTGGGGAAATATCTGTTGAAAGCATTTGCCCAGTTTTAAAAATTGAGTAACTGAGTTGTGTGTCCTTTTTAAAATTAAGTTGCAGTTCTTGATCTCCTCTGGATACCAGTTCCTTATCAGATATATGATAATATTTACATATATGTATATAATACATATACATGTGCGTATGTATACATATACACCTATATATACATATATATTATATATATTTTTATATGTATATATTATAATCATATATCATGTGTGGCTTGTCTTTCACAATCTTGAGAATGTCTTTTGATATACAAGTTTTCAATGTTGATGAAGTTCAACTTATTTTTTCCATTACGCTTGCTGTCTCATCTAAGAGCTCACTGTCGAATCCAAAATTTGATATAAGCTTTCTCTGAAAGTTTCATAGTTGTCACTCAAATTTAGTTTTTGATCAATTTTAAGAGTACTTTTACTATTTTAAACGTTTACATTTATTCATTTACTTATTGGTATGTGTATGGACATACATGTGCCACGGCACATGTGTGGAAGTCAAAGGACAATGTGTTAGATTTGTTTCTCTCCTTCTTTTATATAGGTTCCAAACACTGAACTCAGGTTGTCAGGCCTGACAGGCAAGCCTCCTTAGCCACTGAGTCATCTCAACAGCCTGTTTATCCACTTTTGTAAATAGTGGGATGTTAGAGTCCAACCTGAATTTTTTCTGTGTGGAATCTACTTGCTCCAGCTGCATTTATTGAAAAGATGTCACCTGCACTGACTAATCTCAGCAGCCCTGTTAATAAAATTGTTGGAAGTAGATGTTCGGGTATATTTGTTTTTACTACACTGATACATTTGTCTTCTGTTAGTCTTAATCAAAGATGTATTTTAAGTATTTTAAAATAAAAAAGTTAGTTCTCTAACTTTGATCTTTTCAATATTGTTTTAGCTGTGGCGGGTCCCTTGTAGTTCCAGAAGACAGTCAGGATCTGCTCACCCATTTCTCAAAGGAAAAAAAAAAAGCAGCTGAATTTGTTTTTGTGTTGGTGGGTTTTGCATATGAGAGTCAAGCACTCTATCACACTCTGTATGACCATACTCCCAGCTCAGGCAGTTGGTGTTTTGATAGGGACCACACGAGACCTACAGATCTACTTGGAAGTACTGTCACCTTAACAGTATGATGTCTTCCAACCCACGGATATGGGCTATCTTTCCCATGCTTCTTTAGGTTTTGGTCTTCTGTAATTTCAATTGGGTTTTTTTTTTTTTTCTGGTTTCAATACACAACTCTTCCATTTTGAGGGTTAATTTTATTTCTAAATATTTTAGTAGACTAGAAAACTGGCAGTATAAAAGGAAGAGGAGGATAATTAGAGACATAAAGCTATTATTCATTTTTATTTTGTGTCATGTACAATGTACATGCAGTGCCTGTGGCGTCCAGAAGAAGGCGTGAGATCCTCCCGAAACTGATGTTATAAATAAATGAATTGCTTAATTCTGTTTTTGACTGGCTGACTTTGCAAAATAAAGTTGCCATGAAATCAGTCACAAGGATTTGTATAAAATCAAATCCTTGTGTACACAGGAATAGAAGTGGACCTTTTCCTAGCTTAGCTTCCACATGAAAATGTAGCATTGGCCAATACTTTGACCTCAGTCTTGTGAGACCCTAAGCAAAGGACTCATTAAGTTGTTCTAGGCTTTCTAATCCACAAATGTGTGAGATAATAGTATGTGTTATTTAAAACTGTGAGGTCTAGAATAATTTGAGTGGTAAAGAGAAACATAATTTGTAACAAAACATATATCTAACCATATAACCCAGTCATTCTAGTACTAGTAACTTGCCTAAAGAAACAGAAATATGTACCCCTAAATTCTTGTACATTAGTGTCTGTACCAGCTAAAGTGGAAAGCAGTTCAAATGTCCATCAATAGGTAAATTGATAAAATCTGGCTTCATGAAATAACACCCAGCAATAAAAGGATTTACAGATGCATAAAGCCAGGTAGCTAAATCTCAAATCATTATGCTGAGGTGGAAGAACCTGACAGAGGAGTCATCTACTTTCTGTCATTGCAAATTCTTTAGCTTTTGTAGATGTCTGTGTAAATGGAGTTAGATGATATGTACTCTGTCTTAGTTAGGGTTTTATTGCTGTGAAGAAACACCATGACCACAGCAACTCTAATAGAGGAAAATATAGGTTTATTATCATCATGGTGGAAACATGGCAGTGTGCAGGCAAACACAGTGTGGAGAAGTAGCTGAGAGTTCCAAATCTAGATTGGCAGGCAGCAGGAAGAAAATGTTGCACTGGGCCTGACTTTAAGCATTTGAAACCCCAAAGCCCACTCCCAGTGACACATTTTCTCTAACAATGCCACATGTACTCCGAAAGGCTACAAGTCCTAATCCTTTCAAATAATGCCATTCCCTCTGAGCCTATGGGGGTCATATTCATCCAAACCACCATATATTCTGTCTGGCTTCTCTCAGCAGAAGCAACTTTTGGAAACAGATACAACATAGCAGAAGCAGGGGCTTAAAAAGGACATGAACTTCTTTTTTTTGTTGTTGTTGTTTTTTTTTTTTTTTTTTGGTTTTTCGAGACAGGGTTTCTCTGTGTAGCCCTGGCTGTCCTGGAACTCACTCTGTAGACCAGGCTGGCCTCGAACTCAGAAATCCGCCTGCCTCTGCCTCCCAAGTGCTGGGATTAAAGGCGTGAGCCACCACCGCCCGACTTAGGACATGAACTTCTGGGAGTAATGGATGGTCACTGTACTGACTGTGGTGAGGGCTTCATAGGTATATAGTACATAGAATAGAACTTACCAAACTTTACACTTCATGTATGTGAAGTATCTTGTGTTAATTATTCTTCACTGAAACAATCTGAGAAGCATGCACCATTTACATGGTTTCCTCACAGATATGTTGGAGGAAAAAGTACAAACTTTGATGACCATAGATGAGGCCTCATTACTCCTCCACCCAGTCTCAAATATTTACTAAGTTCTTTGCTAGTTTCTGTGAGAAACACGAACATTAATCAGACTTATTTGATAGAATATAAAAACAAAAATAAAAAAAAAAACACCCTTATTTGGTCTCTACCTAGTTTCTGGCACACAGCTCCTGAAACCCTTAGAGTCTTCAAAGCAATAGTATCTTTCTATGTTCTGAAAATGTAGATGGTAGTTGGGAGAGTCTGAAGAGTTTCAGGATAGGGGCAAGGGAGAATTAACTGACAGTGGGAGCTTCCAGACTACTCAACACTTGAAGGTGCCTGGAGAGTGGTATGGATACATTCTTCTGTCTCCCTACACTGTCTTTTGTACCTTTTATTTCACCCATATTCTTTGTGGTATTCTTTACAAGCCAGCAAGCCTAAGTTTCTGAGTTCTGTACAACACTCTAGCAAATTAATAAAACCTAAAGAAGGGTATCCCATGAATTCTAATTTCTGACTAGAAGCACAGATCATAGGCTGAGGCTTGAAACTGTCAAATGAGGTATGAGGGGGGAGAGATAATCCTTTGAATCTAAAGCTATCTTCCAGGCAGTATGAGAACTGAACCATAGGATACTCAGATGGTGTGTGAGAATCTATTAAGTGTGGGAATACCCCTATACAGTTAAGTGTCAGAAGTGTTGTGGGGTGTGTGTGTACAGGAAAAAATAATGGTTTTTGCTATCTCTCATACTTAGGTACTATTATAATAAAGCATATAACCTTGACTTCTTAGAGCCAGACCTGATAACACAGGCCTGTAAATACCAGCTACTCAAGAGGCTGAAGCAGGGGGATCACAAGTTCAATGCCTGCCTGCCTAACTCAGTGAAGCCTTGTGTCAAAATTAAAAAGTAAAAGAAAAGAGTTGTGATATAACTTGATGGTAGTGTTTGCCTAGCACACACAGGGTCCTGGGTTTGACCAGCACCACACATACAGAAAAAGACTGACTAGGATTCATAAATCACAAATAGTTATTTTTTACATTGGTTTCATGGGGATCCTTACCAGAAGCAAATCCCTCCCAGTGACTACGTGTCAACTGCTCCATACAGCCCACAACCTTGCTCCACACGTTGTCAAACACATAAGCAAGAACATCCTCTTTCATGCAGTAAAATGGTGCAATGGGAGGGTACCCTAATTTCTGTTTCTCTGTAGCTGCTTCTGATTTGTTTCCATGAAATCCCTCTTCCCTGGAATAGAAGCAAGAGGGAAAGATTTCATGATTATTCTTCCCTGAGCACCACCATTGTCCATGACACTCAGAAATGTTCTTGGTGTGCCTGCTCCACCCTCCTCCCCTCAGCTACTGTAGCATCTGAAGCTGCCTTGTGAGGTAAAGGATTCTCAGTAGAAAAGCTGGGTTCCTTCTTTATCTCCACCCTGTCCTAGAACCCTACTAAAAAATTGGGGACTGAAACAGACAGGAACTCCTCTGGAGTTCCTCATGAGCCAGTCCATCTGCTTCTCTAAGGAAAATCCCAGCAGCCTGGGCTGAGGAGGGGCTGGCTGGCAGTGTGCTTAGTTACCACAGACTGCTATAAAGAAAGACAAAGCAAATGTAGGAAGTGGCTTAGAAATGGAGAAACATTCCAGATTTCTACAGTGAAGACTGCCTTCGGGCAGCAGAGGTTCCAGAACGGCAGGACAGAGGCTCATGCAGGGCAGTGACCTAAGGAAGAACTAGCTTGGCATTAGTAGGCGATCTAAGAGGATCAGAATGATTGTGCTGAGCTGTATTTGTTTGTTTTAATTTTTAAATGTGTTGCTATGTAGCCCTGATTGGCTAGAACTCACTATGTAGACCAGGCTGGTCTTAAATCTGTGGTGATCAGATTTGCCCTTAAGTAACAAATTTGGAAATACAGGCATATAACATCATTTAGTGAAAAAAAAAATCAAATTGTATAGAAAGACTCATAGTGAAAAAGATGTCTTTTAGGCCAGGCAGTGGTGGCACATGCCTTTAATCCCAGCACTTGGGAGGCAGAGACAGGTGGATTTCCAAGTTCGAGGCCAGCCTGGTCTACAGAGTGAGTTCCAGGACAGCCAGGGCTACAGAGAGAAACCCTGTCTCGAAAAACCAAAAAAAGAAAAAAGAAAAAGAAAAAAAATGTCTTTTACATCTCTGATTCCTGGTCCCCATCAGCAGAAGCAAATGTTCTTCTACACTGTTCCAGAGAACTAATCATGTGTTACACTGCACCTCATTTTATTTACCAGTGCACTGGGAACTGTTCTAACAGAACAGATTAGCCTGTCTCTTAGAGAACAGCTGGAGCATTCCAGCAGACACACCATGTGTATCCAATTAGCCAGGATTTTTTTTTCTCACTATGGTCAGTACTATAATTGTTATACAGTGCTTCATTTCATGAGTCATTACATCTATGGAATAGATTCTTATAAATACAACTAGTGATGTAAAGGACATCTGCTTTGCAATTTGAAAGACCAGGTCCACCATCTTCTCAAGAGTGTCTATATTCCAACAGTGAAAGAATATGCCATTTACAGATAAGAATTTACCTGATTTCCTCTCAACCTGATGGATATCACAGTATCTCCTTATTGTCTGACATTTTATATCTAATGTAAATATGGCTGAATTTCATAAATTTAAATGTTTTTTCTGCTCATAAGACATTTCTGTTCATGTCCTTTTCCTGTTTAATCCTTATTAACTATATGAATGTAGTGCAGATATTTTTGCCTCGTTTGTCACTTTTTTTGACTTTGTGTTTCTTTTTCCTATGCAGAAATGCCACCAAATATTATCACTTAAGAACCTCTTATATTACTCAAAGATTTTGTATTAGGTTTTAATAGTGACTTTGAACTCTAAAATAGTGGCACACAATTTTAATTCCAGCTCTTGGAAGACAGAAACAGGTGGATCTTTGTGAGTTCAAAGCCAACACTGTCTATATATCAAGTTCCATGCCAGGAAGGGCTATATAGTGATCTCTTGTCACAAACAAACAAAGGCTCCCATATTCATTGAACCTACATGATTTAATCTGTTATATACACAATTTATATGTGAAATTTAAATTTTGTAGAATAAATAAGTTAGGAATGTGACTTTTTCCTGGAGGTGTCTCTACTTGTATGGAGCTACTTGCTAAAGCTATCACATATCCTCATTTCCTGCAGGCATGCTCATGTAATGTGAACATCAATGTCTTCTGTTAGGAACATTTTTTCCCCTGTGGTCCTGGAGTTTCAGCCCAGAATCTTCTGCATGCTAGGAAAGTTCTCTACCACTGAGTTATATAGCTCCAGCCTTTTAACTTTTTATTTTGAGGCAGTGTCTCCCCAAGTTTTATAAGCTGGCCTGATCTCACTTTATAACCCAAGCTGGGTTTGAACTTGTGACTCTCCTCGACTCAGTTTCCTGAATAACTGTGATTATAGGCCTGCTCTAGAAGGCCAACTTTAGTTAGTAACATTCTAAAGGCCGACCTACTGTGTCACTTTACAAGAATATATTTTGGTAGTTTCTCTAATAAGGCTGCCTTTCAAAGTCTTGCCCATATTACCTGAAGACTCATTTGTGTTTACTCTCATCAGAAAAAAAGGAAAGGTGCCCTAGGAGCACACACCAGCCATTTGTATCACATTTTAAGTTAGTCAATCAACTTCATTCTTCATAACTTAAGAGGAAGGGCCAAAGGGGAAGACTTTCTGATTTGAAAAAAACAAAAACAAAAACAAAAACAAAAACAAAAAAACCACCAAAAGACAGAAGTAGATGAGAAAGGCCAGGGAAGCACTTATTCCAAATTCCCTTACACGCAGAGCTAGCTCAGTGGTGTTTGGTACAGCAGTCTGCCTGTTTGCTGGCTGTAGGGCTGTGTGCACATGAGTGAGCATAGAAGTGAACATGGCACAGGAAGAAGAGATGTCGATAATCATATGACACAATCACCAGATGCAACCACACAGCCTAATACAGTGCCGACACTTCCAGATATGCTATTACAACTATTCAATCTGGAAATACTATTTTTTTTTTAAACAAGGGGTCATTTCTCATTAACTAGTTTTGTGTGTGATATGTTTGTGCGTGCGAGAGATGTGTGCATGCCATGGTACACATGTAATGGTTAGAGAACAGCCTTAGGTGGCAGTCTTTGCCTTCCATCTTGTTTGAGATGGGATTTCTCTTGTTCACTAGTAGGGTATACCATGCTAATTGCTCCATCAGCTTTTGGAGATTTTCTTGTTGCTGTCTCTCAATTCCCTGTACAAAAAAAATCTGGAATGACAGACATCTGTGCTACTGCATTTAGCTTATGTGGGTCCTAGGGATCTGAGTCAGTCTGTCAGGCTTGTATGACAAGCACTTTACCCACTGAGCCATCTCCTTAGGCACGCGTGTGTGTGTGTGTGTGTGTGTGTGTGTATGTGTGTGTGTGTATTTAATTTTTGAGATACGGTCTCACATGGCCCAGACTTGTCTTTAATCTTCTCTGTAGTTAAGGATGGGAACCTCTGATTCTCCTATCACTACCTTCTGAATATTGGGATTACAGGCAAGCGCCACTATTCCAGTTTATGTGGTGCTAGGGATTCAACTAAGAGTTTTATTTGTTGGGAAGACAATTTACCAGTTGAGCCACACATCCCAGTAATTCTACAGCTTTTAATAGCTTTCAATGATAAATAGTTTACACTTCAGAAAGGTAGCATGAGGCCTGATGAGAGCACTGAGTTTAGCAGAGGAATGAGGTTTTGGCTTAACTTTACCTCAGACAGATCACTTAAACACTGGGTCTCACCTGTCCCATTTCCAGGTAACATCTGATCTATGACTACTGTCAGAATATAAGTAGATATTAATAAGCATTATTAACTAATAAACTATGTATCCTTTTAAAGTAAGAACGAGATGGCCTTGGTGGCACAAACCTTTAGTCCTAGCACTTGGAAGGCAGAGGCGGGTTGATTTCTATGAGTTCAAGGCCAGCCAAGACTACAGAGTGAAATCCTGTCTCAAAACAAGAATAACAAAATAAGAAAGTTTGTTTTAAATAAACAAAGTTCACATCTCTTCAACTACTCTTTAACATTTCAGTTTCCACTGGTGATAACTTGTAAAAGGATAAAATCAAATTATGTAGATAAAATTAGTCATTCAAAAATCTTTGTTTGTAGGAAAAGGCAAAACGTAAGTGAAGAAGGAAAGTGTGGAGGGATCCCTGGTGTATGGGAGCACCAGGACATGAGCTCTGCATGTTGGAGCTAACTGGAAACAGATTCCAAATTGTTATATATCTACTTATAGGTGATATCAATCATTCAGTTCCAAAGAAAGTAGATGCTTATCTACATAAACCAGAGTGAAAATCTTAAAAGGCAGTACTCACATATCCGTGTGGTCAAAAGCTAGGTACTCCTCTATTATTCCTTCAGAAATGATTATACAGTCTGCCTCCTCTCCTCCAACAGCAGATGAGTCAGAGGCTTTGATGGTGGGAGATGCTTTGTAAGAAGATGAAAAATGTAACTTCTTTCCCCTTATACCAAATCTTGGTGAGGGAAGAAAAAGCAGTATTAATGACATATTAAAACAGCTCTCACACAGCAAGTAACATAACTTTTGGAATAAACTCTCTTTGTCCTGGCAATACTTTCAGAAGAATTCGTAGTTTTATCCCTGCAAACTCAACTTTTCATGTTTCCTTCCTTTCTTTCTTCTTTCTTTCTTTTTTCCTTCCTTCCTTCCTTCCTTCCTTCCTTCCTTCCTTCCTTCCTTCCTTCCTTGTTTGTGCTTTAACTTCCTGGACTACCATTTTGACCTACACACTACTATTTATGTAGAAGACACCTTATTTGAAACCATAATCTCAATTTATATATCAGTCTGCTTTTTTGTGTATTCTGTTATCATGTAAACATGTTATGTTCTCATTTAGATTAAAAAAAAATAGAAAGGAAGTTGAAGAATGTCAATGGTATCCCACTGTACTAGGTGTCAGTCAGACATACAGTAATTACTGAATTGCTTATATGTGGCTTCCTCCCAGTCCAAGAACACTTCCAAAACTGAAAATGGACCAACCCTATTTTAATGTATTTAAGATATGAGAGACAGCTAACATCGGGAGAATTGCTGAATAAGAGACAAGAAAGTGCCAGGTAAAAACAGGGCTGTAAGCAGGGCCAGATTATAATTTTATATTTTATCTTAAAGGCAATGGGAATCTATTAGAAGCTTTTTTAATGCAATGTGGCAAATTGATAGGGTTTTTGTAGAGACTCGTAGCCATTGATAAACTTTATTTTATGGCAACCTGCTATGTTAACCTAAAACACTCCAGATACATTTCTCTGATACCTCCTAGAACAAAACGTGGCCAAAGAGCAGAGCTGGCACACTCATCTCAGAACCTAGGCTTTGCTCTTCTGTGCTACCATCTCCCAAAGGAGCCATTACTGCAAGCTAGAGGACTGACTGACATGCTTGCATCATAAAATACTTACATGGTAGACTCTCTTTCTTGAGACAAGGTTGCTTCATGTGAAGCTGACATAGCAGAAGGGGATCTGGGGTACAATCCATAGCCTTCACTCGGAGTGATTATCTGCCTACCCAGAATCCTTCAAACAAAAAACAGATACAGTGAGGTACGTTTACTTGGCATGCATGTAAAAGCTAAGCATTTTAGCAACAAATCTGACGGCTCTCCATAGAAAGCCTACAAACTCAGACACAGATTAAGAATGACTCTTTCCTTAGATAGAATATTTATGGAAAAGATAAAGCCAGCGCCCAGGAACTTATGGTCCAAGAAAAGTTAGGGATGCAATGCAGTGTAGAATACCAGCCTATCTTGACAAGGCGCACCTCTCAAAAGAAAGGTTCTCTGGAACGGCCTGACACTCAAAAGCCAGCTACTGATATACTTTACTTGTGACATGATGGCTCATGTCTGCAATCCCAGGAGGTGGAGGCTAGAGGAGGATCCAGAGTTCAAGGTCAACAGCTCAAATGCAGACTTCAGCGCTTGGGGCTGGAGAGATAACTCGGAGGTTAAAAGCACTTTCTGGGGGGCTGGAGAGATGGCTCAGCGGTTAAGAACACAGACTGCTCTTCCAGAGGTCCTGAGTTCAAATCCCAGCAACCACATGGTGGCTCACAACCATCCGTAATGAGATTGGATACCCTCTTCTGGTGTGTCTGAAGACAGCTACAATGTACTCATCAATAAAATAAATTAAAAAAAAAAAAAAAAAAAAAAAAAAAAAGCACTTTCTGCTCTTGCAGAGGACTAGGTTTAGTTTCCAACACCTACATGGCAGTTCACAACATCTGCAACTCCAATTTCCGAGAATCAGACATACTCTTCTGGTCTCCACAGGCACCCGGTACACGTGCAGTACATTTACATAATTTATGCAAACACTTCTAACATATAGGGAGGACTTTTTGTTTGTTTGTTTGTTGTTTTTTTGTTTGTTTGTTTTGAGACAGGGTTACACTATGTAGCTCTGGCTTTCCTGGATCCCACTATGTAGATCAGGTTGGCCCTGAACTTACAGAGATCCACCTGCCTCTAGAATGCTGGGACTAAAGGCATGTGAAACCATACTCAGCCTAAGAAAAAATATTTTTGGTGTGGCTGCCATCTCTTTTGCGGCATCATGGCTGCCCTCTGGCCTCTGGTGAAGCCCAAGATCGTCAAAAAGAGGACCAAGAAGTTCATCAGGCACCAGTCAGACCGATATGTGAAAATTAAGCGAAACTGGCGGAAACCCAGAGGCATTGACAACAGGGTTCGGAGAAGATTAAAGGGCCAGATCTTGATGCCTAACATTGGTTATGGGAGAAACAAGAAAACCAAGCACATGCTGCCTAGCGGCTTCCGGAAGTTTCTGGTCCACAACGTCAAGGAGCTGGAAGTGCTGCTGATGTGCAACAAATCTTACTGTGCTGAGATTGCTCACAATGTGTCTTCTAAGAACCGAAAAGCCATCATAGAAAGAGCAGCACAGCTGGCCATCAGAGTCACCAAACCCAACGCCAGGCTACACAGCGAAGAAAATGAATAGATGGCTTGCATGCATGTTTTGTGCTTAAATAAAACCACAAAAACTGAAAAAAAAAAAAGAAAGAAAAAATATTTTTAAAAAATGTTCAAAGCCAATCTGGGTTACTCAAGACCTTTTCTCTTATGTACACAGGCACATTTTAAAAAGTTTTACTCATAGCTAGATGTGGTGGCCCATACACCAAAGAGGAAGAGACAGGCAGATAAATGAGTTGAAAGCAAGTGTGGTCTATACAGTGAGGCCCTATCTCAAAAAAAAAAAAAAAAAAAATTGTTCAATTAGAATGACATGTGGTTAGGATAGGTCTTTGTACTGACTTGAGTTTTCTTTCTGCTGAGGCTTTACACAACATGGCTTTAGATAATTTCATCAAAATCATGTACATTAAAAACAAACAGACCAAAAAGCAAACAAAAAACATGCATAGGCCAGGTGAGCCTTTAAATTCCAGCACTCTGAAGATAAAGAGGATCTCTGAGTATCAAGGCCAGTCTGGTCTATACAGTGAGCTCCTACCCAGCCAAGTTTCATAGTGAGACCCTATCTCAAAAAAGAAAAGCTCTACGGCTCGTAAAGGTTTCCGAATCCATGAGATGATACCTGAGGTGAGGAAAGCTGGATGCCCACTGCTGGCACTCTCTCTGCAGGCCCTGTGTGTGCATGCTCAGCTTCTGCTCATACAGGAGCTCGTCGATGGCTGTGAACATGGCTTGGACTTTCTCAGTGGCATTTTGGTCAAGTTCCTAGAAACAAACAAACCCATCCCCCCCAAATTTAGACAAGCTATTAATAAGTTTGGTGAACTTCTATACGGTTAGATGAGCTATTCTGAAGCTGTAGCGCTTTACATTTGACTTTATGCATTCACTATCAAATATTTTTTATGCACTTAAGAGTCACTGAGATGTATAGACTTTGTGTCTGATTAATTTTGGTGTGTGCTTTTTTTTGGCAAATTCTTTATAATTAAGCTTTAATTTTTAAAAAAATCTGTACAGTATATTACAGAAGGAGCGCCAGTGGATAACATTGAATTTTCTATTTTTAAGCTAACTCATGCTCACAAGTTGTCATCTTCTTTTTAAAATTAAAAAAAAATTATTTATTTTTATGTGGTGTTTTGCTTGCATACAAGAGTGGCAGATCCTCTGGAACTAGTGTTACAGACAGCTGTGAGCTGCCATGTGGGAACTGTAACTGGGTTCTCTGAAGAGGAGCCAGTGCTCTTAATTGCTGAGCCATCTTTCCAGCCCTCCATAAGTTGTTTTCTGAACTCTACATTCATACCATAGCATTGTGCCCCCAATACACACACACACACACATACGGACAGATACACACACACACACACACACACACACACACACACACACACACAGGCACAGGCTCTGATACGTACACATATGAGGGGAGGGAATATTTCAATCTTCACTACTGCAAAATAAAAATAAAAGCAATCATATTTTGTTTTGTTTTAAAGAGTTCATTTGAGATACTGTGTTTATATAAAAGGAAAGCTAAGTTAGGAAGCTTTCATATCTCAAGGAATTTTCAGATGTTCTTTCTTTTTTGTTAAGGACAACTTACAGAAAAACATTTTTAAAGTAATCAAAAAATGTACACTAACTGTACATTTTAGTGTTCACTGTACACTAATGCTGAAAGGAATGGAAGGGATAGGAAACATGTACATAACACTTAAAACCTAAGAAGATTGATCACAACACGGAGGTGATGGGACTGTGCAGCCAGGTCACTGAATCCTCCTGACTAATCAGATTAATTCACCAGGAATAGTTTGATGCCCACCCCCACCTCTGAGGTTCCACAGATGCAGTCCTGCTCACCTGCTCCATATCATTTGTACTTCCTCCCTGATTCTCCATCTCAGACCTTGTCTACCCACTCACCTTCTCTTCAGTTCCAATAATGTTTACCTATGAAACACAAGTTTCTTCTCCTCTTACAACTCTTCTATTTTAAGGGTATGCATGTCTGTGTGAGGCCAGAAGGGCCTAGGCCATTATACTTTCTCTCCATCACTCTGTGCCTGTGTGCTTGAGGCAGGGTCTCTTCCTGAGTCTGGGGCTTGAGTCTCAGCTAGGCTGGAAGCCAGCAAGTCTTAGCAATCTTCCTGTCTTCACTCCACTAGAGCTGAGATTACAGGCACTGAGGGGCAGGAGGCACCCAGCTTGTTATATGGATACTGGGATCTAAACTCTGGTCCCAATGATATTTAACCACTGAGCCATTTTGCCAGCACCCCTACCCCAACCCCCAGATATTTATCTGTCTGAAAGTCCATTTCTTTTTCTTCACAATATCATCTCTTCAGTCCTAAGTCTCAGCCTACTATACACTCTAGTCTCAAATAAATACTCCTTGTTACAACCTGTTTCAGCACCATGCTAGAGCATTTTGTCTCCTCACTAGACTACTGAACTATGTAAGTCTCACCCATAATCCTAAAGTAACAACAGCAACGGACAGATTTGCTCAAAATATTCCTTGAAGAAACTAATAAAACCTGAAAACCCAAATATTAAATATTGGAATGCTCTCACTACAGTATGTTAACACCAAGAACTGTTCTATATACTACTATAGTTGACGGATGTGGAAGCAGTAATAAACATCAACATTAACAGGGGTAAATGACAGAAGGCGACTATCAACTAGTACATACACATGTGATTAAGGAAAACATGCATACATGAAAAACGACTGGAGAGTGACTAACGGTAGTTAACACTAGATGTAAACATTCAGGTCTCTCTGTAGAGAGCGGCTAACTGTATTGTTTAAAATCAGTGTGGTAGGAGCTGGACAGTGGATTGAGATGTTAACCTGCAAGCCTTACACCTGAGTCCGATCCCCAGAACCTACGTAAGTGTAAAGATGGAACTAGAGAAATAAATTTACAAAGTCGTCCTATGACTTCCACATATGGACCATCGTACCAGCACCCACACACATATAATATGCATGCACGCACAATTTTTTTAAAATGAAATTGAAAAAAAAATAAGCCATGCATAGTGGCACATGCTTTTAATTTTAGCACTTCGGAGCAAGAGACAGGCAGGTCTTTATGAGATTGAGGCCAGTCTGGTCTACATAACAAGTTCCAAGATGCTACCTAGTGGAACCTTGTCTCAAAACATTGATGCTGAATAAAGTATCTGGAGGTGCATGCCTTTAATCCCAGCACTGGGGAGGCAGAGACATGTGGATCTCTGTGAGTTTGAGGCCAGTCTGGTCTACACAGTTGAGTTCCAGGATAACTGGAGTTACACAAAAATACCTTGTCTCAAAAAACAATAAACAAATACGGTGAAAAGTGATCAAGGAAAATACCTAATGTTGACCTCTGATCTCCATACTTGTTTACAAGGCAAACATACTTCTACACCACACACACACACACACACACACACACACACACACACACACACACAGAGCAGAGTGAAGGAATGATGAATGATGATTCCTCAGTTCCTAGAAATGCAGCAGAATGATTAGCAGACAACTCACACCATATCCCCAGGAGAAGTCGGAGCTGCCTTCTGTTGAGATCCCTGTGCCTGCATAGCTTGGAAAAGCAGAACGCGAATTCCCAGTGTCAGTTGATGTAATAGGTGATTCTTGGGTGATGTCAGATTCACTAAATGGATAATTTGAGAGAAGGGGAGGAAAAAAGAAAATTCTTATGTTTCCTCAGCAACTTATCAGGTGGTAAGCATGTATACAATGTATCAGTAGAGGCAAAAATAAACTTGGAATTCAAGTACTCTGTAAGAACCATAATCTGTATGAATCATAAATAGTATGAATGGCAGCTGGGCTGAATAATGCCTGTCAGTTTGTCTGGACTTAGTACTCACCTGTACAGTGCACTCTGTCCCACTAGAGATGTTTCAGCAATCTAACAGAATGTCTGAACTTGTTCAGGGCCTGAGGCTCCTCAAGGACATTCACCGACACCCATTTCATTTAACCCCTGCCACTGTAAAATGCCAATGCTGCCAGTGCAGGTCTCATTAACTCTCTTTAAAAGTCAAGGGACCCGAGTTTTATTTCCAGGTTTGACACTAGATTTTGACTTTACAGTTTTTCCTATGACAGCATGCTGTTCCTCAGAACTCTCTTAACTCCCTTTCTTAGTAACTGGAATTGTTATTTACTCGGTACTCACTATATGATAAGTGCTGCGTGAAGTTTTACATACTTCATCTGATTTATTGTTAATAGTGTCCTTTTTTTTCTTGATTAAACCAACTAAAGATTTGTCACTTTTCCTGACTAGCTTCCAAAGAATCAACTTCTGCTTGTTGTTTCTCTATTTCATTTTCCATCATCTCACTTGCCCAATGCGACTCAACTAATAAGTGTCAGGAATGGAATTAAGACCACATATCCGATCCATTTTTTAAAATTTAACTACTTTTTTTTAAAAAAAAGATTTATTTATTTCATGTATATGAGTACACTGTGGCTGTCTTTGACACACCAGAAGACAGCATCAGATCCCATTACAGATGGTTATGAGCCACCATGTGATTGCTGGGAATTGAACTCAGGACCTCTGGAAGAGAAACCGGTGTTCTTAACTGCTGAGCCATTTCTCCAGCCCTTAAGTTAACTATTTAACAATTACATATTACTTTTGGTGGGCTGGAGGGCTGTCTCTAAAGTTAGAGCATGTACTTCGTTACTAGAGGGCCCAAGTTCAGTTCTCAGCACCCATGCTGGGCAGCTCACACACACAGCTCCAGCCTCTCTGGGCATCTGCAGGTGTCTGTACAAGCGCTCTCTCTCTCTCTCTCTCTCACACACACACACACACACACACACACACACACGCACACACACGAAGGGGGGGATAGGGGGGTGGGCTTTACAAGTCCGACCTCCAGCAAGCCTCCTGCCTCAGGCCTCAGGCTCTCATAGAGATAAGATTTCTTGTTTTGTCTCACTAGCACAGGCATGGTCCCAATGAACAAAACCTTTTCCATTAGCAAGTGCAATGAGCAAGCAAGTATGCTTTGTGCTAGTACCTTTGAGAACTTGTATCTTTCTCATGGCTGTCGTTGGTAGAGGAAATGTCATCCAGCTGCTCTGGAAGGGGATGGTGGTTAAGAGCGTGCTTTGTTAGTCCTTTCCTGCGAAAGATAAAAAAACAGTCTTTTCTTTATATTTTACATTTGTGGTAAAGAGGTCACGCTTACAGTATTGATTATTCTTACTATTCTCCGTGTACATGCATGCCATGGTATGCATGTGAAGACTGGGACGAGCCAGTCAGAGTTGGTTCTCTCCTTCCACCTTGTGAGTCTTGGAACTGAACCTGGTTGTCAGCCTTGGTGGCAAGGACTTTTACATGCTGACCATCTCGTCAGCCTCTAGTGAAAATACTTAAAAACAATTTAAAAAATTATGTGTAAGTGTCTAAGCCTGTGTGAGCTTGTATGTACCACATGCACAAAGGGTGTCAGATCTGGGCCTTGAGTTACAGGCAACTGTGAGCTCCTGATATGGCTATTGGGACTAAACTCAGTCCTCTGCAAGAATAGTAACTTTTGAGCGACCTTTTTAGCCCCATATACTTTTAAACCATGTCTACCAGTAGAAAGAGAAAAAAAAATTGAAGTGTACATTCTCAACTTTACAAACAAATACAGTACAATTCACTAAGATCCCAGCGTGTCCATCTCTAGTGAGACGCCCTGGCACCAGACCCCTTAGATTTAACACTGACTCCAGCACTTACTGATCACATTACCATGAGCAGTTATTTACTCCTGTGCTTCAAGTGAAATACATGCGCTAGGGATTCATGATGTGGCCTGGGCAGACTCCCTATAAAGAAACTTGTAAGACTCTGTTTAGCCTACAATGTCTCCTGAATATACGTATCTGATTAGAGAATTTTGTGGGGAAATGATGCCTACGCTAGATAATTATGTCTGGAAGATATAATAACTGGTGTATAGTTTATCCCAAGCAGACAAGCCCAGCAGAAAATGGATCCCAGAGGAGTCGTGCCTAAGAGATAGATAATTTAAAAATTATGAATGTTTTACATTTTCAGATGGTCACGCACACACGAATATCACACCTTGCTTATATGTTTAAGTAACAATTTTAAATGAAAGTGAAGGCTGGAAATGTAGCTGAGCAGTAGCACTTCCTAGCATATCTGAGGCACGAAGTTCAAGTTTCAGCACCAAAAAAGGGGATGGGAGGCTATACATAGAGAAAATCAATTTTGCTAAACTCTTTTTAACATCTATAACAAGAAATTGTTAGAAAATGCTACTGCTTCAAAATGGATGGACGCTGTATCATTAACATTAAAAATTCATTTAAATTCACTGCCACTCATTTCTATGCATTTAATCCTCACTGTTCACTCTACTATGATTCCCTTTTGGCAAGGTTATTTTTAGGAACTTTAAAAAAAAATAGCATTAAGAACAAGTAGTATAACTACACAGGCTCAGTAATTCCAGCTCAGAAAATGCTTCTTCATACAAAATATATTTTTAATATATCTGGTTAGAAATAATTATAAAAGCAAATCCAGGGCTAACGAGATGGCCCAGTAAATAAAGGTACTTGCCACCATGCCTCAGGACCTGAGTTCAATCCACAAGACTCACACAGTGGAAGGAGTGACTCTTGTAAGCCGTCTTCTAACCTCCAAAGATGTGCTATAGTGCATGTACATGCACATGTGCATGCACACACTAAATGGAATTTTAAAAATTAAAAGCAGATTTTTTTTCTCACTTTGAGGAAATGGCTGTTTCTTACTTGTATTCCCTAAAGAGCTGATGATCTGACTTGCTGTTGTGTAAATAACATATTCCTTAACAGATAACATGCTTCTGAAAATTGAGGAGAGGCTCTTTTCTTTATATGGCTCTTTTACCAAGTAAAGGCGGGAAGAGGAAAGTAGTGTTATCATGTACTGAGGGCCTACTACATGCAGCCCTATGCCATCATCTTAGGTATACTTCAGATCTCATTTGTATACATAGACAGCAAGGCCCAGATCTAATAATCTCCCTAAAAGCTACACGGCAAGAAAAGTGTCCATCTAAAAGTCTCAGGTGTGACTTTAAATGAACGTTATTGGCATGCACAATAAGTGTATGGCTGTTGAAATTGCTTAGTTCAATGAGGAGGAACAATGGGACTTGGATTTTTAAAAGTTTAGGCTTTATTGGCTTCAGATGTGGAAACTTTTTAATTTTATCTGAGAAGTAGAAGCTAGTTATAGCCATCTTTCAGAGCTGGTGAAAGGATCAAGAAACTGAAGGTTCTTTTGAAATTGCAACGTACCAGTAAATGTAAGGCGCCAAGTTACACTTTGCTAACGGTACAAAGCAGGTCTTTAAACTACAAGTGCTTGCTTTTTAATCTAAAAAGCAAAACTGATCATTATTTGCAGGAGGTGTGTCAGCAATGTGTATAAGCTTGACAACAGGCTTTAGAATCGGATTGACACGTGGTTTGTACTTCTGAGCTGCACTCCCTTCTAGATCTTTAGATCTGTGATCTTTATTGGTAAGATGTGCAAAGTTTGTCGAAATCTGACTTTGCTATTGCATTCAAGCAAACATCTCTGCATGGTGTTTTGAACTAGATACGTTCAACTTTATTGTAGCATTCAGCTATTATCTTCAGTGGGGTCAAAAGCACTGTGGGAACTATAAATGCTTCTTAAGACCCACTCCCTCAATTCAGGTAGTAATAGCCCAAAAGGCAGGCTTAGGATACCATAGATGATACACTCTCAGCTGGTGACCCAAGGGCAAAAGGCAGCTTCCGCCATGGCTGGGAGGTGAGAATTCGGGATATTTTCCCTCCCTAAGCCTGGGACCGGAAAGGAGAGGACGGGTGAAAGAGGGTCCCTTGAGCTCCTGCGGCCCAGGCTGGGCGAGCAGAGCAATCCACTCACAGCTCCACGCTCTGTGGCACGGCCTTCCGAGTGTATCTGGAGATCATCCTCCGTTTTCTCCTCCGTGTCCAGGGCGGGCAAGCCAGGGCGGGGGCCTCGGGGCCTGGCCCTCCCGCTGGCTCAGGCCCGGCCCCCTCCTGCCACCTACCGGCCCCGTCTCGCCCCGTCTCGCCCCGTCGCTTAGATTCCGGACCGCCACCTCCCAGAGTTCCCACTCTATAGTCTTCCGATCTGCCTCCTTCCTCTCATTAGCGGAAGTGACGAAGGAACACGGCACCGTTCCGAAATTGGCTCCGATGCACATTATTGACTACCCCAAGGTTCCGGACACTCATGACTTCTAGGTTTTCAGGCGTGGGTCAGGGCCCAAGCGAACGTGAGGACCCAGCATGGGCCGGGATTGGGCGGTTGGCGGTAGCTTCTAACCAAGTGTCCTAGTGGAAGAGGCGGCCAAGGAAAGGTGCCAGAGCAGAGACGCTCGAGAGAGCTAGTAAAAGGAATCGCTTTACTTTTGTCAGGTGGAAGAAGAGAGTCTAGTTTGGTGAAAGAGCACTAGACTGCGCCAGGATAGTGCTCCTCAGTCGCTTCTTCTGTGTTCTCAGGTTTGTCATTTGTCATTAACCCGCATGATCTCAAGTCCAATTCTGACTCTGTAAATTCTACATAAAGAGTCCTGCTTGGATTTAGGGGGAGGGTGGTTATTTTTACTTGATCCTCCGGGTTAAGAGGCAGCGCAGCATGATTCTAATTTACGGTGGTGAGTGGGTAGTTGCATAGAAGACGCAGGTTCCTTATTGGTTCATTGCAAAGCCAAAGTAAGCTTAAGAATTAAATTGCTGCATTAGGTGGGCATCCAGAACCATGGGGAATTATTTTGGGACGAAACTCTAACACACAAATGTTTGCAGTTTTAATTCTTCTATAGAAGTCCTGTAGAGCAAGGGACATTGCTTTTTAACGCACCAAATAACATAATTTTAAAGTAAGGAGGTGTTTTAGAGATGGCCGAGTAACACTTTCATTTCACGATTAATTAGAAAGTTCAAGAAAGTAAAGTGCCCAAAATATGCAACTAATTGAAGCACAGTTGGAAGTTTTGAGAGAAAATAATGGATAGTAATGTAATGTTTTCAAACTGTGTTACACATGCTGCTACTGATTTAAGGGCAAGCATTTATTTGTTTGTGAGAAAAGGTCTTGCTAAAATGCCTAGGCTAGCCTCAAACCCTGGACACAGGTCCTTTTGCTTCAGTCTCTCAGCTGAGACCATAGGCATACCCACTGCACCTAAATATTTTTAATTTTTATCCTTACATACTTACTTGGTTTGGGAAGTGAGTTATGGATTTTCATTCACTCCATAATATCAAAGTGTCCATTTCACATAATTTAAATTTAAGGAACATAGTTTTAAGTATAAATGTCATTCAGAGGCTAATGCATCTAGAGTCTGGTAAAGGCCTGAACCATGATGATGGTAGGTGCGTATCAAATTTTGGGGAAATATTGTAGTCACCTAGAAGAAGTTTGAGAATGCTACTATTTCTCCTTTTATGTGGTTTATGTCACTGGAACTTGGAAGGTCATTTCCAGAGAAGAATGGAGGGCAATGGCAAGCTCGCCATGGTAGAGGATGCTGTGGAGTACCATCTGTTCCTGATACCAGAGAAAGCCAAAGACACAGAAGAGCACAGAGAGATCCTTCAGAAGTACATTGAACGAATAATGACCCAGTTTGCACCCATACTGGTCCCTTATATCTGGCAGAATCAGCCTTTCAATCTCAAATATAAGCCTGCAAAAGGTAAAGTAATCCTTCCATTCAGTGTTGTCTGAGAGAGACTTGCTCCTACAATTTTAAAAATAAGTGATGTTTGCCCATACATCTAATCCCCTAACTTTAACTATATAAAATATTCTTATGGTTAAGAGTACGGGGACTGTGGCTGTTGTTCTGAACTTACTTACTATGCCTTAGTGTGAGCGCTGGTGCTGCATACATAGATCCAGGCTTACCTGTATCTTAGTCACAGTTCTGTTTTACTACGAAGTGCTTTTCTTGATGATGCCTTTGGTAGGCTGCTTTGTTTCGTGTAGTTGTTTTTCTGAGAATCAAAGTGTGACTTTGTCTGGCTGATAAAGACAACTAAATGGGTTTTGTTACTGTCAGTTCCCTCCCAGAAGCATTTCCAGTGTCCTTTACTGTTGTCACCAGTGCTTATGGCCAATTCGAGCAAAATACAGTAATCTGTTCTATTTCTTCTAACTGTATAAAAATGAATGAGCGCTGCTCAATGACTTATGTGGGGTCTATTTAGGATCAGGAGCCTGGTATCTTTTGGTCCTGCCATTCCTGTTCATACTTCAGTGCTAATGTGTTATATTTGGCTAGCAACTGCTCAGTTTCTCCTTTGCTATTACTTTTACTGAACTTTTTCCAGCAATGGGCATTGAACCTGGGGCCTTGTACATAAGCAACTGGTCTGCCACTGAGCTATTTCCCCAACTCTAACTTTGTTTTCTAGAATACAGGCAATGTTTACTGACATGGAGATGAGCAAATTAAAACAAGCCCGCTAGACAGATATGGTGGCACACACCTGTGATCTTAGCACTCTGGGGCTAAGGCAGGAGACTCACCAGTTTGAGGCCAGCCTGGGTCAAAGAGTGAGAGCCAGTTATAAAACAAAAGCAACCTATTATCTTTTAGAAAACCATGCTTTCCCTGTATTCTTTCACTGTGTAATGTCATTGCTGACTGTTACCCAAGCTAATTAATATTTCAAGGGCTAGAGAGATGGCTCAGTGGTTAAGAGCACTAACTGCTTTGCCAGAGGTCCTGAGTTCAATTCCCGGCAACCACATGGTGGCTCAGTATTTCAAATGTATAGTCCTTGCTTTGCTCTGTGCAGTGAGGAACTGAGCAGGAAGGCCTAGTGTGAGCACTTCCAGAATCTCCCTTTCCACACAGGTCTGTGGATACTCTTTATTCTTTCATCTGGAGAACTACAGCTTCCTAACTTCCCTCTCTAGCTCCAGTCTCTTGAGCTCCTCACACCATTGGCAGATATCTTTGTAGAACAAAGACTGGACTGTGCCACTTCCTGGCTTTGTTTTCCTGTGACTGTGGGAAGGTAGGGGGTTGGGGGGGGATTTCAGTTGAAGTCTGATATGTAATGTAAATGAAAATCATGCTCTACTCTGAGCTCCTCTAACTGGAGAGATAAGAGGGATTTGTCGAGAGCTGCAGAGTTGAGCAGCTGTTCATCTCACATCTTTTGGTTTGAGCAGCTGTTCATTTCACATCTTTTGGTTTTCTGTTTGTTTGGTTTGGTTTTTGCTGTGGTTGCTGTGGTAGACCCCATGGTGCATTTGTTTGACCTTCATGTGGTACATTACATTTCTTAAATTTTTGTTTATTTTATGTGCATGGGTGTTTGCCCATATGTATGTCTGTGCACTACGTTCACATAGTGCCCTCAGAGACACTATGTCTCAGATCCTCGGATCCCCTGGAACTGGAGTCACCAATGGCTATGAGCCACCATGTGGGTGCTGGGAATTGTACCCAGGTCCTCTGGGAGAGCAGCCAGTACTCTTAACCACTGAGACATTGATTGACTTTTGTATGTTGAACCATCTTGTAGTGTGGGAATAAATCCCACTCCATTGTGGTATTATAGCCTCTTTCAATGCTGAATTTGGTTAGACAGTTTTTCAGTGTCATGATAAAAATTACCTGAGAAAAATCAACTGAAGAGGACTTCTTTTAGCTTATGGTTTCAGACAGATCACTTGGCTGTGCTGTAACTCAGCCTGCACTCAAACTCATGATTCTCCTGCTTCAACCTCCCCAGTGCTAAGACTACAAGTGTGTGCCACTGTGCTCAGCTGTTAGAGGCTTTTTATTACTGATTTGATATCCTCTGTACTTATAGGTCTGATAATACTTTCTACTTCTTCATGATTGCATCAAGACCTTAATTCAGGATTTATTTCTTACAGTTTTCCCAGTTTCTTGGAATAAGACATTCATAGATTCCCTTGTAATCTTTTATACTCTATAGAAAGAGTATAATGTTTCTTCTGCTAGACTTATGCTTTGTTTGATGTTTTTCTTCTTTCCTAAAGTTGGAGTGCTGGTTTGAGATTGTACATAACTGTAAACTGTTACTTTCATGATTTTTGCTAAAGTTTATGAATTTTCATACATAGTGCTTTCATTTTCATTTTTTCCAAGATAGTTTTTCACTTTGCTTGTGATTTCCTTTTTGACTCTTGGTTATGTAAGAGTGTGATGTTTAACTTCTGTATACTTAGGGATGTTGCACTTGTTTGAGATGTTTTGCATCTCCAAAACAGAATCCTTATATCCCATGATCGTTCCTTATCTACTGTAACTCCGTGCCTCTGGCCATGCTCTTCTCTCTCTCGAGAGTCCAGCTCTGGTCATTCTTCAGCCATCACTACTGTACAGAATGAAGCAGGAGCCTCTTGTATGCTCACACAACCTTGTATGCTTTTAAAGATGGTTTGCTTATCTGTTCCTTGTTTTAGACCCAAACTCCTCAGAAATACACATTCCATGCCTTGCTCAGAATTGCAATCCCAGCTCCCAGAATAATTCTGAGAACTTAGTCCGTGGCTATTAATGAATGTTTACATATGTTTTCCCTCACAGGGGCATACTTGCCTGGCTTACGATCACTTCTCTCTTGTTTATAGGAGGTGTTCCTGCTCATATATATGGCATGACAAAGTTTGGAGATAACATTGAGGATGAATGGTTTATTGTTTATGTAATAAAGCAGATTACAAAGGAATTTCCAGAGTTAGTGGCAAGGTATTGTCATTATTTTAATTATTCTAAAGGAGTTCTCAATTTAAAGCCTAAGTGATTGTATTTGTGTTCTTTTAGTAATTTTTGTCTGAGCTCTGGTAGAAATTATTCAGTTTGGGGCAGACTGAAAAGCTGACTGTTTCCTTTCTATTCTCTTGTGACTTTGTTTTCTTAAGAAGGATACTGGAGAGTTCAGTTCCCCAAACACTTCAACATAGCACAAGTTACAGTAAGACTAGGCACCTCCCCTCATATCAAGGCTGGATGAGGCAACCCAGCAGGAGGAAAAGGGTCCTAAGAGCAGGTGAAGAAGTCAGAGACAGCCTCCTTGCACCCTTCCCACTGTTAGGAGTCTCACAAGAATACCAAGCTACACAACCATAACATATACACAGAGGACTCAGGTCAAACCTATACAAGGCTCCCTGGTTGTTGGTTCAGTCTCTGTGAGCCCCTATGAGTCCTGGTTAGTTGATTCTGTGGGTTTTCTTGGGGTGTCCTCAACTCCTCTGGTTCCTACAATCCTCCCTCCTCCAAGCTTCCCCTGATATTTGGCGGTAGGTCTGTGCATCTGCTCCTATCAGTTGCTGGGTGAAGCCTCTCTGATGATGATTAGGCTAGGTTATAGTCTATGAGTATAGCAGATTATCACTAGGAATCATTTCATTGCCCCTGCCCCTTTTTTTATGGCTAGTCATATTTGCCTCTATCCTAGATCTCTGGGCTATCTAGCCTCTGATTCCTGGCCCTACAGGCAATGTCAGGTGTGGGCTACTCTTGTGGAGTAGGTCTCAGGTTGGACCAGTCATTGGTTGACTGCTTCTACAAGTTCTGCACTACGTTTACCTCAGCACATCTTGTAGGCAGAACAGACTGTACATTGAAGGTTCTGTGGCTGAGTTGATGTCGCGGTTCCTCCACTGGAAGCCTTGCCTGGTTACAGAAGATGGCTCCATATCTCCAACTATGAGGAGTCTTCACTAGGGTCACCCTTGTAAATTCCAGGCAGATTCTAGTGCACTGGGTTTCTACCTCACCCCTGAGATGCTCCTCAATTCCAATTGTCCCTCCACCCCCACCCACCTGATCCCCCCTGCTCCCATTCCTACCTGCCTCCAGTCCACAATTCTCGTGAACTTTTAATGTGTATGAAAAAAAATTCTAACTTGGTAGTGTACACCTTTAATACCAGCACTTAGTGGGCAAAGGTAGTTGGATCTCTATGAGTTCAAGGCTAGTCTGGTCTACATATTAAGTTCCAGGCCAGCCAGGACTCTGACACACACACACACACACAGTCTCCTAAATATCGGCACACACACACACACACACACACAGAGTCTCCTAAATATCGGCACACACACACACACAGACACACACACACACACAGAGTCTCCTAAATGTCAGCAGTATGGACACATTTTTAAGGACACATAGTTACTCTATTTACCCATCACAGATACTTAAGGATTATTTATATCAGCCAGCTCCACTAGTTGGCAGGAAAGCTCATCCATTAATGGCTCCGGTGGTTTCCATTGTAATACGTTTCTTACAAGACTCAGCTCACTTCAGCCTGAAGCTTCACCTCTTCTCAGCCTCCCTGAAAACCATGCCTTCTCATTTTTCTCTTCTGGTTCCACTTTCACCACATCCAGATCTTCATTTTTAATCTTTTCTGTATATTCACTCTGTTCTGAGTTATTGGATTATAAGGATTAAAAAATAATCAAGAATCTTTGTGTACAATATTCTTACCCTGAGTATGTCATGTATAGCCAGAACATGTGATATGCACACTTGGCCTGACAGTGTAATAATGTAATCTCAGTAATACGTGTTTCACAGACTTCTGCAATATTTTCTTTCTTATTAACTAATGATTTTTTCTTCTTCTTCTCCTCCTCCTCTTCCTCCTTCTCATTCTCCTTCCTTTCCTTCTTCTTTTTCTTCCTCTTTCCTCTTTCTCCTCTTCCTCTTTTTTTAATTTTTTAAATTTTTTTTATTTTTCGCTTTTTCGAGATAGGGTTTCTCTGTGTAATAGCACTGGCTATTCTTGCTTTATAAACCAGGCTGGCCTCAAACTCAGAAACCGCCTGCCTCTGCCTTCCAAGTGCTGGCATTAAAGGCATGTACACCTGGCCAATGATACAATTTTTGAGAAGTCATACACAGAAATTTAAGAGAGATCAATATGGGAAGCAAAACATGTACCATGCTATAGATAGCTCTCTGTAATTACCCACCAGTGTCAGCAGAGGGCACCGCACACATCCTTTTTGACACTGACTTTCCTTTTCACCCCATCAAATTGGATACTGTTCCCACAAATCCTTTCTCCAGCAGAACAAAAGAGAAGGGAGCAAGAAGTTGGAAAATGTTTTTTTGTTGTTGTTGTTGAAATGTAAAACACACATAAAAGTAGAAAAAAAAAGGAACCCATGTGTACCCGTCATCTAACTTCAACAACCATCAAGTTACATCACCCCCGTTTCACCTGTGTCCTGACTACTCCATTACACAGAAAGTGCTGCGGTTAAGGGCATGCACCATCACTGCCCAGCCAGGAAGAGTATTTTGAAGTAAATATCTAGTGCTGTGCCATCTGGCCCTTCAGTCATTCAGATTGTAGATCTAGTAGATAATTCTCTACATTTACTTTTTTTTTTTATTTTTTTTTATTGAGACGGTATCTTGCTGTGTTGCTCAGGCTGGTTGGAACCCCTGGGATTGAGCTGTATTTCTCCCTAACCCTACTAATAGCAAGGACTGTAGTTTTTGTAATGTTTTCAGATTATTTTTATTCTCTAAACTTTACATTTGGTTTTGATTGACAGATAAAGATTATATACACTTTCTACGTATGCAGTGTGTATTTTGAAATATATCGACATCATGGAATGGCAAAATTGAGCCCACTAACATATGCATTACCATCCATATTTTTTGTGTTTAAATTTTAAACAAAGACAGAAACACTTGCTTTATGTTCCTGCCAGATTAATCTTTCTAAATGAAAGTTCTAACTATTTTGCTACCCCGCTCTACAAAACCTTTACTTTTCTTTTTTTACTTTTTAAAAAATTTTGTCTGTGAAATATAGCGCATGCTCACTCACGAGTTCTCATGGTAGCATTGCTTTTTAAGTCTTGTTCCCTATGAGTCGCCATCTCCCAAATAACACAACTGTCTGTAAGTCTAGTTCTCAGGGACCCAGCGCCTTCTTCTGGCCTCTGTGGACGCTGCACACACATCATGCACACATGTACTTGCAGGCAAAATATACATAAAATAAAAACAGTTTAAATTTTTTAATACTAGTATTGCTGGGTGTGTTTGCATGCATGCACAGGATATCTTGGGGGAAAGGAGACCTTGTGTGCACAGTACAAGCGTGGATCCTCAGGATAACTATGGAGTCTCTTCCATCTTTTTGTGGGTTCCCGGAGTCAACTACAGGTTGCCGTACTTGCACAGCAGGTGCCTTTACCAGCTGACCATTTCTCCAGCTTCCTGTTCTAACTTAATACATACAAAAAAAAAAACCAAAACCATGTGATACTGTTGCTCAAAAATTAAAAATAGATGAGGCAAAGAATATCTTTGTAGATTTAGGTAACACTTTGTACATGAAGGCCTTCCTAATTTCATTTATAAGTAGCCTCCCCCCCCCCCGGAGCCTTTTAATACCTATGTATTTCCATATTTCTGTCTAACATAATTCTTTGATTTTCTCTTGTTAGTATCTCTTAACCTCCTAACAATCTTATGTTTCATATAGGCTTTCCCTGTATTTTTTTTAAAGGAGTTATTTTATCTATATGAGTATACTGTAGCTGTCTTCAGACACACCAGAAGAGGGCATCAGATCCCATTATAGTGCTGGGATTGAACTCAGGACCTCTGGAAAAACAGTGCTCTTAACTGTTGAGCCATCTCTCTAGTCCTTTTCCTGTATTATTTTTATTGCTTTCAGGTGTGTGTGTGTGTGTGTGTGAAGAGGTTATATACATACATGTGAGTGCAGGTACAGGTGGGAGCCGGATCACTAGATGTCATGAAGCTGGATTTACAGGCATTTGTGAGCTGCCTGATACAGGGGCTGTGAACCAAGCCTGGGTCCTGTGCCAGAGCAGAAAATGCTCTTAATTGCTGAGCCATTTACCAGCCCTGTTTGACTGTATGTTAAATTTTGCCTTTTTTTTTTTTTTTTGGACAATCTGTACATAGTACACACTTAAGATTTTTCTGAGAAGAAGGGAAAATGTATTTGATTAAAGCTGTTTGTGCTCTGTAAATATGAAAATAGATCTTCTCTTTCACTAGGGTTGAAGACAATGATGGTGAGTTCTTGTTAATAGAAGCGGCCGACTTTCTCCCTAAGTGGTTGGATCCTGATAATAGTGCCAACAGGGTAAGTTTACCCCGGCTTAGAGAATACAGAGATGAAATCTGCTGTGTCATTTCCTGTGTCCCCAGGCTTCCTGGAGCTCATGAAGAAACTAAGATTGCCATTTTGCAGGTGTTTTTTCATCATGGTGAGCTGTGCATTATTCCTGTGCCAAGGAAATCGGAAAGGCTATCCTGGTTACCTACGACACCACCAACAATCCAGCAAGCTTTGAGTATAATCTCAGCACACTCAGAAGCTGTTTTGGCTTCAGAATCTATACAAGCTGCTGTGGACAGGCGCATTAGTGGGTAAGAGAGGGACACTGATACCCTTAGCTGAGGAATGTTTTGGTTCAGTGCAGCACAGGTTTTTATTTGCATATAGAGTGCCTTCAACCTAGGTTAATGCTTACCTGCACATTATTGGCCTCACTGTTCATGAAACTGACAGTTAAATTTATGGAATTTAAAATCAGAAAACAGATCTATTGATTGGTCTATTGACTGACTGAATGACATAGGGTCTTGCTCTGTTGCCCAGGCTGGATGCCCGGTCTCATGCTAACTCTTTCCTCAACCTCCTGAGGAGCTGTGGTCCCAGGAGTGTCACTGTGCCTCCTGAGGAGCTGTGGTCCCAGGAGTGTCACTGTGCCTCCTGAGGAGCTGTGGTTCCAGGAGTGTCACTGTGCCT